AGGCTTTTTTTTTCTTTAATAAAAGGGATGTTTTCTTGCCTTTTTTTTTTTTTAGTCCTCCAGAGTCTAGAACTTTTTAAGTTTCCCATTAGAAAGCACAGAGTGAAAAATTACAGTGGCATCTGAATTGTTCAAGGCCCCCAGGTCTTTTTTATCTCCAGCCACAAAGCTGAGACTCCATCTAATTACACAGTTCAGGCAAGCCAGGGATGGGGGTCCCTTCCCTCACCTCCCACCCATCACTTCTAGCAGTGGGTGGGAGAAATGACAGAACAGGGAGAGAGCGATAGTGTAGTCAATTACAATAATAATAATAATACAGTAAGATAAAATAAAATAAGCAATAACATAGCAACACTAATCACCAATAGATTGATGGTAAATAGATTACCAATGTGTGTATAATGCATGTAGCTGTATGTGTTCAATTTTCCTGCCAGAGTTAAACAATTTAGTGTCTCAGTCGCAGGTACCCATATAGTTTCACCTATGTATGAGCCCAAGTATGTAGGTGTAGATCAATAGCATTGTTAGGGTTATACTCGGGTTTTGAAATTTTATCTTTTTGAAGGCGTATGGTGGTTTTTGAATGATGACGGAATTTGTAAACAGTGAGCCTAAACTTGCCAGTGGACTCTGATTTAGACAATCACGAAGTGCTCCTACTTCCTTTGGAACGTGACAGCATTTGACATGCACAGAAAAGTCCCAACAGGAAGCGGAGGGAAGAGGAGGAAGTATATGGACAGTTAGATAAAGTATGGAAGCTGCCACGAACTAGCCTTGCGCCCCTCCCCCGCACACACACGCAGAGCAAGCAAACAACCCTAAACTCACTAGCACCCCTGGAGCGAGTGCCTTCAGCTGCTGCAGCTTGCTCTGTGCCCAAGGACTGCGGGTGCTCTGCAGGTGAGAGGGAAGGGGAGCGATCTCTGGACGGGGTACCCCGATGGGACCTGACATTGGCTCTCTGTGCATCACGACTTGCTTGGGATTAGAATAACTGAAGAGCAGAATTTCCTGTCCACCTGTGAGGAGCTCTAAAGCAGAACTCGGGATTAACTGGAGGGAATTCCTGGGTCAGTGAGCGAGCGAGCGAGCTTCTGCCTACTGTCAGAGGGGCCTGGTTCCCTCCCGGCCCCTCTGAGCCCAGCCACCTGGAGTGCGCCAGTGGAAACACCAAATGACCTTCCACAGCGTGGCCTGTCACACTCGCTCCCTCTGGTCATTCTTGGCTCTCTTAGCTCAGCCTTTCGTCTTGGCTCTGTAACCCAGTTTCCAGTTTTCCATAGTTGCTTTAATTTATGACATGGTTTGGACTCACTGGCCATGACCTTGGCCCTCACCTCGGGATATTATTTTCAGTATTTATCCTCTAGCTCTGCCATTGCCACCCTGGGAAGGAGGTACTCCATCCTATCAAGGCCCCACCCCTCAGGCCCAAGAGACAAAGGCCAGGCAAACACACTCCGGTGCCCAGTTCTTGGCTCCCAAACAGCACAGAGGCCCAGAGGCAAAGGGACAGAGTAACAGGGTGGGCGAGGTTTGGCCGCTGTGAGTCTACTTTTAAGACGCAATGCCCAACCTTCTCCTCCCGTAGAGAGAGGCTGTGCCGACTCAAGGTGTAGTGCTCTGGAGAGACAAGATGGTACGGCTGTGCCTGCTCACATAAAACACAGGCGGGTCAGTGGGTCAATGGAGTAGATATTCTCATGGGTTTCAACCGGTCTTGAAGGATACGATGGACCTGGCCTGCCATGTGGGCACCACCCTGCAGAGCCAACCCAGAGCAGCTGGAGCTCTGGGGCACACTGAAGCAACTGCAGTTAGGACGGAAGACCCCATCCTGGGGCCACCGATAACTCCATGCCACCAGCACAGTCACTGCCAGACATGGTGTCCACCTAGAGTCGCCCCAGGGACAACTGCTGAACAGATCACCGCACGCAGGCCCGGAGCGTGGGAACCTGCTTCTGTGCTGGCAGTCCGCTGTTCCTTCGGGCGCCCCTCAGACGGAACCCCCACCGTGGGTATGCAGCAGTGCAATCTCTACTCCGCGTTTTTCCACTTGAGAATCTCTCAGGGTCACCCCGCGGTGATCAACAATGGAAAACCAAGATTCTCACACTGGGGGTGACTCTGACATAACGCTGCTTCCTAAGAAACTTACTATCCAGAGCATGGTCTGATTCCTCACTTCCGCTCCCTGGTGAGGTTAGCAACGGCAATGGCTCCCCTACAGGCACCGACCAGAGGTGGAGCACAAACCAGACAACATGCACTTGAAACTGCTCACGGCCCCCACACTCCCCATGCAAGCAAGGCAGGGCGAGGGTCTCACTCCCCACAGTGCTGAGGGCTGCAGCAGCAGTGAGCCCCAAGACCTGGGAGAGCCCAGTCGGCAGGTGGGGTCTGGGAGGACCCTCTGCTCTCTCGATGTGAGCACTTCCTGCTCCGACTGCCTCGGACCCCTCCTATTTTCTGTGGCCACCACCTCCCTTCTTTGAGAAAACTGCTTCCTTTTCACTCTGGTTCCAACAGTGACCAACCAGGGCCTCAACCCAAGTGCGGGCAATGGGAATCTTTGCCTAGGACATTTTTTAAAAAAAGATTATTTATCTACTTGAAAGGCAGAGTGCCAGGGGTTGGGGTGGGGAGGGGGAGAGAGAGAGAGAGAGAGACAGAGAGACAGAGAGAGAGAAATCGTCCATTCTATTCGCTGGTGCACTCTCCAAACGACTAGGACAGCTGGAGCTGGGACAGGCTGAAGCCAGGAGCCAAAACTCCATCTGATTCTCCCTTGTGGGTGGTAGGGACCTAAGTCCTTGAGCCGTCTTCCACTGCTTTCCCAGACACATTAGTAAGGAACTGGGTCAGAAGCAGAGCAGCCAGGACTTGAACTGGTGCCCCCACATGGGTGCCAGTATCACAGGTGGTGACTTGACCTGCTGTGCCACAACGCCAGCCCCAAGCCTAGGACTTCGAATTGGCATCAGGCTTAGTTGGGAAGGTGGAAAGTTCTCTGCATGGTTTTGTTTCTCCTTGTGGGGAAGTTGTGAGATGTGACGGCTGGCAGCTCTGCGTCCAGCCACAAGCAGGGAGCTTGTCTGAGAGAAGGGAACACCATCTGCAGCCAGGAGTCAGAAGTCAGCCTCTGCTCCAGGGCCTCCTCAGGCCCAGCTCCTCCCTTGCCTTCCTAGGGATGCTGGAGACGTCCAGTAATGCATCCCCATGCCCAATTAACCTACTTGAATCTGAGCTTATGTTACTTAAAAAACAAACAGTAGTAAATAATCCTATCCGTGCTCAAGGTTACCATGCAGGTCACCTCGATCCTGTGAGTCCATTATAATCCCACTGCCATTTGTTTGTCACGGAGGCTCCGTAAATTAAACAGATGGCCCAAGTCCTACATTGAGCTATTAGAATACAATGTTACTTAAAGCACCTCTGATTAGAACCCTATACAGGTAAGTAATGGTTTTGTAGACACTGTCTCCTTTGATTCTTATTTATTTTCTACAAATTTTTATTTATTTTATTTATTCGAAAGGCAGAGACACAGGGATAGAAAGAGATGGGCCAGGGGGCAGCGGGAGAGACAGAAACAGATACTTGAACCCTGATATCCAGATGAGATGTCCCAAGCAGCAGCTTAGCTGCTGCCAGTCCTTCGAATTTTACACCAAGCTTCTGCAACAGACTAAATCATACGCATTGTTTGATGTTCAGAGACGTAAAGTGACTTTGCCACTGCTGTTCAACGCGTGAGGAGCCATGTCTTGTGACACAGCACCCGCTGTTCCTTCCAGCCATGCTTCGGTGTACATCTGTGCACACACAGGCACACCCAGATGCAAGCGCACACGGAGGCTCTGTGCACACACAGGCACACCCAGACACAAGTGCACACGGAGGCTCCGTGCACTTAAAATGAAAATCAAATTCAGTGGAAAAAAACTCTCCTTAGGATGACATATAAAAACGTTTTAGGATATTACTGCCTGTAATTATTTGTCCTTTTGTATCTCACTAAAATATTGGTTAAGGAATCTCCTGTGTCTCCCACTGTGCTACCGGGGATAAAATGCTTTCCATTATCTTGAGACTTGATAAAATAGAAAGACCTAGTACTTTCTGTCTTTTGGTTTTGCTACCTAATGAAATGTGAGAAAGCAAGCTGACACATGAAAGAAAAGCAAAAGATAACTAATTCAGAGATTAACTTTGGGAAGGCACCAAAATTAGATCATGTAATTAGTTCACAGTTTAGAAGGCTTTGGTGGAATTTCACTTATGCAAACAAATTCCATTCACATAGTTTAAGAGGTCTGAATCGTTTTTACAGATGAATTATGCTTAAAATGGAGGGTTACGTAAGTCCTAGTCTTCATTTTTCTCCTTTATATCCATTGGTTGTAACAGTCAAGGAAAGCCAAGAATTAGCACTCAATTGTTTACTGGAAAAATCAATGCTAGCTAATAAAATGGAGGGAAGAAGGCTGCAAGAAGCCAAACCGCAGCACTCCTTAAAAGGCATGCACACTCCTTGAAGGCCAGGAGCCAGGTCAGTAGGCGCCACGTGTGATGTGCCCTGGTCTTCAGGTCTTTGTACCACGCTGCACAGGGGGTGATGAGCAAGAGGCCAGAGGGGCTCACTGGCTGTGAGAGTGCATTCAGAGGAAGTCCTCCGTTCAGAACTGTCCAAGGCAGACTGGCCCAGACTATGGGGGTCATGGAGGGAACACAGAGACCCCGCCACTCCGTAGCCAGTGGTCACCACGAAACCAAGGCGGCCGTCCTCAGTAGCAGCATCGGTGACTCAGCAAGAGCCGCATGTTGGCCACATGCTGAAACACTGGTTGTAGGAAAAGGATTGCAGCTTCAAACACCTCTGGATGGGAATTCCTCGTATTCTTAAGTATGAAAATTCATATGTAAGATTCAATTATGAAGAGAACTCACAGATGAACCAACACAAACACAGCAGGCAATGAAGTCATGAAAACATTTGAAAAGAAAATGTGTGTTTTTCTTTTTTCCCCACTGAACGGGTAGGCTGTTTGTATGGACGAGATAAAGTGATCATTTCAGTGTGGGAAAACTTGTTGGATAGTTTCTCCCTTGTTTACAAAGCAACCCTTTTCCGACAAGTTTGTACATGTGTCCACTGTCAGAAAACACAGAGACAGGCCAGGGGAGTTTTGAATTCGGTGTTTGGCCAGTAAACGTTTGCAGTCAGCTTGGGTTTGCGCTCAGCTGTGAATCTTGTCTCGGGCTAGGGCGATGCCGGTTGTAGGCTGCAGAAATGCTATGGTGTGGAGCAGCCACTCCGAGAGCCTGTGTGGCAACAGCTGGGCACTGGCCTGTCTCTGCTTATCGTGTTTGAGACGATGTGTAAACGTTCTCAAACAGACAGGAGTCTCCAGCTCTGCAATGAGTTGGGCAAAGGTTTCAAGGACCAAATATTTGACATTGTTTGAGAACCAAAAATTGTACCACGAGATAAAACTTTGTGAGAAGAGATAATGCAAAACTGTCAGTTTTAATATGTCAGTTCTGAGTTAAGACTTCATACAGATATTTCCATTTATTTCCTTGCTGTTATAATACAAACTCATTTCAGTTCTGGTGTGAGAAAAGATGATGTTGTGCAATACTTTGGTAATGAAGTTGTACTAGGAAAAAAGAGAGGCTAAATAAAAGAGGAGGTCTCCATGTCGACAGAGTGGGAATGCTAATGTTGCCTGCGTTTTGAGTGCACTTAATTACGTTTTATTTATTTTTAACTTATTTGAGAGGCAGACACACACACACAGAGCTCCCAATTGCTGGTTCATTCCCCGAATGCCTGCGTCAGCTGGGGCTGGCCCAAGCCAAAATCAGGAGTTGGGAAATCAATCCTTATCTGCCATCTGGGTGGCAAGGACCTAACTACGAAGCCGTCACCTGCTGCTTCTCAGGGCACACATTAGCAGGGGCTGGAGTTGGTGTGGCTGAATTCCGGACACTCTGAGATGGTATGCAGACATCCCAACTAGCATCTTAATTAGTAGGCCAGACAGCTATCCCTAGAATACTTAAAAAAGCCAATGGAAGAGGCTGGGTTTATGGCCTAGCAGATTAAGCTGCTTCTGATCCAGCTCCCTGCTAATGGGCCTGGGAAGGCAGCAGCGGATGACCCGCACGTGGGAGATCTGGATGACGCTCCTGGTTTCCGGCTGGCCTAAGCCTGGCTGTTGCAGCCATTTAGGGAGTGAACCAGTGAATGGAAGATCTCCCTATTTTTCTCTTGGTAATTCTGCCTTTGAAATCAATAAATAGGGGCTGGCGCTGTGGCGTAGCGGGTAAAGCTACTGCCTGCAGTGCCGGCATCCCATATGAGTGCCAGTTGGAGACACAGCTGCTCCACTTTCGATCCAGCTCTCTGCTATGGCCTGGGAAGGCAATGGAGGCTGGCCCAAGTGCTTGGGCTCCTGCACCCATGTGGGAAGACCCAGAGGAAGCTCCTGGCTCCTGGATTCAGATCAACGCAGCTCTGGCCCAATTGTGGCCAGTTGGGGAGTGAACCAGCAGATGGAAGACCTCTCTCTCTCTCTCTCTCTCTCTCTCTCTCTGTCTCCCTCTCCTTCTCTCTGTGTGTAATTCTTTCAAATAAATAAATAAATATTTTTTAAAAATCAATAACTAACTCAATTAAAAGCAAGTGAGAAACTATGAAATGTTTTCAGAAATACATATGCTGTGTATGTTATTCAAAGTGTGATCATTTCAGTGAAATTTTTCATGTTTAAATGTCAAGAGAGACACCATCTTTTTTTTATTAAATACTTATTACATTTATTTGAAAGGCAGAGTGACAGAGAGAGAGAGAGAGAGAGAAAGGGACAGGAACAGAGAGAGATCTTCCATCTGCGGGTTCACTCATCCAGTGTCTACAATGGCCAGGGCTGGTCTAGGCCGAAGTCAGTAGCCTGTAACTCCATCCTGGTGTCCCACACAGGTCCCAAGCACTTGGGCCATCCTCCACTTCTTTCCCAGGTGCATTAGTAGGCAACTAGATCAAAAGCAGATCAGCCGGGACTTGAACCAGTGAGGGGCAGCTTAACCTGCACAAAACTGGCTCTAAGGCACCATCCTGAGAGTGTTTGCACGTAGATTTCCCTACATCCTTGGACCCGGGCATGTCTTTGACAGTAGGAGAGTTTCCATGAAGTTCCTTCCTATCGATCAGTAGATGCCAAGGAATTCACTGACTACAAATTTTTTTTAACAAAGTTTATCGTTAATGTCTTATTACATAACAAATTCATGTTTATTATAGAAATAGCTAAACAAAAAAGATAAAATAGTAACACTAATAATAAAATAAAAATTCTTCCATCTCAATTTTTTCATTTGAAATAAGAAAATTGCTATATATATTTGTCTTTCATGATTATTCACACAAAATAAATTCTCAGAAGTGAAATTATAGTCCAAAGGCACATGCAATCCCAAATCGTTGATGTCTGTTATTAAATTGTCTTGCAGAAAGCTTCCTTTGGTTTCTGGCACTATCAGTAGTGTATAAGAAGTAGTGTATAAGAAGAAGTGTATGTGAAGACAGCACATAATATAATCAAAACGTGCTTTTTAATTTTATCGGTTAAAACGTTTTTCATGTTAGTTTCGCTTTCCTGGATAACCTTCTACATTGTTAAAGGTTTACAACTAGCAGGGCTGTATTTGTAGTCAGGGAAAGCGTTTTTATGCCAAGCAAGCATACAATATCCAGCAAAGCTACCCTGGAAATGATGGCGAAAGCAAGCCTTTGCCAAAACAGGAAAGCCCAGGATTTAGCACTGTGAGGCAGGCCCTGCAGGAAGCACCGAGGGGAGATGGAAGTGAAAGGAGAGTACTGCCCCTGTGAGAGCACAGGCAAGTACGAGACTCACCAGGAGACAGGTACACAAAAGAGAAGAAACATCAGACCTCGTCCCTCAGAAAACCACCAAACAACAATAGCATAATAAAGGTACAAAGCATGTGCAGGGGCTGGCGCTGTGGCGTAGCAGGTAAAGCTGCCTTCTGCAGTGCTGGCATCTCATATGGGTGCTGGTTTGAGTCCCGGCTGCTCCTCTTCCGATCCAGCTCTCAGCAATGGTCTGAAAAAGCAGTAGAAGATGGCCCTGCACCTGCATGGAAGACCTGGAAGATGCTCCTGGCTCCTGGTTTCTGATAGGCCCAGCTCTGGCCATTGTGGCCATTTGAGGAGTGAACCAGCAGAGAGAAAACCTCTCTCTCTCTCTCTCTCTCTCTCTCTCTCTCTCTCTCTGCCTCTGTCTCACTGTAATGCTGAATTTCAAATAAGTAAATAAATCTTAACAAAAAAGAATATGCAAAACAATCAAAATAATTAAACAAATTGACAGAATTGAGTCTTTAAATATCAATAACTTTGAGTGTAAATGGATTAAAATCTCCAATTGAAATATTTATAATAGATTAATGAATAAAATAAATCAAGACCTAACAATATGCTGGCTTCAAGAAATTCACTTCATGATAAAGATACACATAGACTCAAAGTGAAGGTATGGAAGAAAATACTTCATACAACTGGAAACCAAAAGTGAGGAGGAATAGCTATGCTTACATAAGATAAAATAGACTTCAAGTGAAAAACTCCAAAAAGAGACAGAGGGTCACTATGTAATGATAAAAGAATTCAACAAGAAGAAATAGCAATTGTAAATATACGCTGGAGCACCCAGTTCTACAAAGCAAGCACTATTAGATCCAAAGGGAGAGAGAGATTACATACAATAATAGTTGGAGACTTCAGCACCACATTTTCATCAATAGGTAATCCAGACCAAAAAAATCAACAAGGAAACATCACAGTTAAACTCTACTACAGAGCAAATGGACCTAAAAGACATTTATAGACCATTCATACAACTGCTGCAGAATATACATTCTTCTCATCAGCACATGGGACATTCTCTATGACTGGCCATATATTAAGCCACAAAAAAAGACTGAACAAATTTAAAATAAAACTCAAAGTCATAGCAGGTTTCTTCTCTGACAGCTAGAAATCAACAAGAGTAAGCCTAGAAATTGCACAAATACATGGAAATTATACAACATGTTCTTGAATGACCAATGAGTCAAAGAAGAAATCAAAAGAGCAATTAAAAATATTTCTTGAAACAAGTGAAAATAAAAGCACAACATGCCAAAATCTATGAGATACAGCTAAAGCAATACTAGGGACACTTAAAACCCTAAGTGTTGACATAAACGAGAGAGAGAGAGAGGGAGAGAGAGAGAGAGAGAGGTATTTCAAGTAAATGGCCAATGATATAACAAAAGGAACTGGAAAAATAGAAATAAACCAACACCAACATTAGTAGAAGGAAAGAAATAACAAAGATCAGAAATCTTTGATCAATGAAATAGAAATTTCAACAAAAATTAATGAAATAAAGAGCTGTATTTCTGAAAAACAAACATCAACAAAATAAGCTAGACTAACCAAGAAAAAAGCGAGACAGTCCAAAGAAATAAAATCAGAAATGAAGAAGGTGACATTACAAAAAATAACCACTGAAAGCATCATTAAGGTTTATTATCAACAACTACTCACCAACAAATTTAAAAGTGCAGAAGAAATGGACAAATTTCTGGACAAATGTAACTTACCAACATTGAATCATTAAGAGATACAAAATCTGACCAGACCAGTAATGAAAAAATCAGTAATAAAGTCCCCCAACAAAGAAAAACCCAGAAACTTTTGAAGAAAAACTGACACCAATCATTTTCAAATGATTTCAAGAAATTGAAAAGAGGTCTTCCAAACTAATTTCATGAGGCCAACATTACTGTGATAGAAACCTCCCCCCAAAAAAATAGAGAAAGAGGGAGAAAGGAAACAGCAAATTTTGTTGATGCAAAAATGCTCAGCAGAATTCTAATAAAAGTCAACAGCACATCACAAAGATCACACACCGTGATGAACTGAGATTTACCTCAAGGATAAAGGATGGACAATATCTACAAATCAACAAACATAACACACACAACAACAGGATGAAGACCAAAAATCCATATGACCATCTCAACATAAAAAGAAAAAGCATCATTACAAAATCCTCAATAAATCAGGTGTAGAAGGAACTTACCTCTACACAATGAAAACGACATGTGACAAAACTACAGCTAAAATCATACTGAATGGAGAAAAGCTGGAAGTGTTTCCTCTAAGAACTGCAACAAGACAGGATTTCCACGTTCACCACTCTCACTGAACATAGTAATGAGAGTCTTAGCCAGATAAGTTAGATAAGAGAAGAAAATAAAGGTCATCCAAATAGGAAAGCAGGATGTTGGATTATTCCTGTTTGTACATGACATATTGTAATCTGTAGACAAATCCAGATGCACAAAAAGGAAAAAAATGAACCTGTTAAAACTGATAAATGACTTCAGTAATGTCACAGGATACAAAATCAACATACAAAACTCAGCATTTTTATGCACCAATAATGAAGATGCAGAGGAATACAACAAGAAAGGAATCTCACTTACAATAGTTCACTCACATACAAAAATAGCTAGGAATAAATTTAACCCAGGAAGAGAATGATGGCTACAATGAAAATTACAAAATTCTGGCAAGAGAAATTAAAGAGGACACACAAAATGAAAAGACACCCATGTTCATGGATTGAAAGAACTAAAACTGTTGCAATTTCTATACTACCCAACACAATCCACACATTCAACGTAATGCTCATTGAAATGCTAATGACATTCTTCAAAGAAGTAGAAAAAATTATAAAATTCATATAGAGCTACAAAAGATCCCAAATAGCAAAAAGTACAAGGCTGGAGGCATCAAGATAAATGATTTGAAAATAGATTATAAAGCTAGAGTAACAAGAACAGAATGGCACTGGAAAAAAAGTGACATAGGCCAACGGAACACAGTAGAAAAACAAGAAACAGATCTATGCCTCTACAGCCAACTGATCTTCAACAAAGCATCAGAATCATTGGAGAAAGGACAGTCACTTCGATGAACGATCCTGCAGAAGAAAAATATCGGACTTTTATCTTCTTGCAGTATAAAAAATCAACTAGAAATGGATAAAAGACCCGAAACCATGAATCTCCTAGAACAGAACATAGAAACACTGCAAGACATGAGTACAGGCAATGAATTTTTGGATAAAACCTCAAAAGCACAGAAAACTAAAGCAAAAGTAGATAAATGGAATTATATCAAACTCAGAAGCTTCTACACAGCCAAGAAAACAATCAACAGAGGACAAAGACAATCTATAGAACGTGAGAAAATATTTGCTAACCATTCATTCAACAAGGGACTAATATCCAGAATATATAAGAAAACAAAAAAATTTAGCAATAAAAAATCTGATCAAAAATGGGCAAGTGATATGTACAGACATTTCTCAGAAGAAGATACATAAATAACCACCAACAGTATAGTAAAAAAGTTCTCAGCATCACTAATCATCAGAGAAATGCAAATCAAAATCACAAGGAGTTGGAAGAGCTATTATCAAAAAGACAAAAACAAACAAATGCTGGCCAGGATGCAGAGAAAGGAGAATGGTCACACACTGTTAGTGGGACTGAAAACTTGTACGGCCACTATGGAGCACACTGGAATTTCCCTAAAATACTAAAATAGAGCTACCACATGATTCAGCTATCCCACCGTGGGGTACACATCCAAAGGGAATGAAATCAGGATATCAGCGATACCTGCATTGTTATGTGTATCCCAGCACTGCTCACGACAGCCAAGATATGAAATCAACTGAGGTGTCCACGAACAGAGGAATGGATAAAGACAACATCACACGCACATGTTCTATGTGACATATACACATGCTTATATATAAAGTACCATATATATATATATATAAAATAGAGTAGTGGAATAGTATTTCACGGTAAAAAGAATGGGGGTAGGTATCTTGCTGGCTGCCTGCATGCTGTATCGAAGTGCCTGGATTCAATTCCCAGCTCCATTATCCTGATTCCAGTGTCTTGCTACTGCAGATCCTGGGAGGCAGTCCTGCGGCTTCAAGTTGGCTGGCTTCTGCCGCCTGTGGAGGGACCTGGGTGGAATGTCTAGCTCCCAGCTTCAGCCTCCTGACTGTGGCAGGCCTGCAGGGTGTGAACCTGATGTCTGGACCGGAGCAGGTACTCTCTCTCTCTCCCCTTCTTTCAGAGGGAGCGAGTGCTAGAGAACTGGAAGGAGACAGAGAGAGAGAGGAAGGGAGAGAAGGAAGGGAGGGAGGCAGGCAGGAGAAAGAAAGACTAGAATCCTGTCTTTTGGGACAATATGGATGGGACTTGATGACGCAATGCTGAGTGAAAAAAGTCAGGCATAGAAAGATAAACATGGCATGTTCTCTATCATACATGGAAGGTTAAAAAACCCACGATTTCATACAAGTAGACAAAAGAATGAAGCAGTGGAGGGAGGGGGGAATAGAGGTTAGCATTAGGTAAAAAACAGATAAGGGATATAAGTACTGGTGTTCTATATAACACTGCAGGGTGAGTATAATTAAAAATAACTTATTCTATGTTTCAAAATAGCCAAAGGATTTTGAAGTTTCCTAATACATAGAAATGATGAATGAGATGATATATACAATAATTGCCCTGATCTGCTCATTACATATCTCAATACATGCATTAAAATATCACAATTTGCCCTATAAATATGTATGCTTATTATGTGTCAATTTTTAAAAATAATAACAGAGAAAAAGTATAGGAACTTCTAAAATCAAAACAAAGCAAAATGAACAAACAACAAAACACAGCTGCTTCTGGTGGAGTCTCTCAGACGACTTAAAAGCCAGTGCTCTGCTTGCTGTCTGTCGTGTGTCAGACTGCAGACTCCAGTCCCGTGTCCTCTTGGCCACAGGCAGAGGTGGCCCTGGAGTGGCCGGGACGCCTCCGGCAGAAGCTCTAGTGGCTGTCAGCCCAGACAGTGAGCTGAGTGTTAGTGATAAAGCGTCAGCAGAGGTGACAGTTCTGTTTATGTATGTGTGTTTATTTATGCATGAGATAATGAGTAAATTTACGTGTGCATTTCATTTATTTGATTAAAGCCACACAACATTCATTTAAAAATACTTAGTCAATAACCATACTGATTGCCAGAAGTTCCTACAAAATACTTGTTTGAAATAGCTTCCAAGCAAAGCAACTTTTTCCTCCCAAGGTGGGAATCTGGAAAATTTTTCTTGAAGCTTTCATAAGTTTTTCCTTAAAACGTAGATACAGTCTTTTTTGAGCTTGGTTACAGCCAAGTACCTATTCATTCAGACAAGTAATAAATGACTATAAAATAATGTTGAACGAGTACAACCCCGTCAGTGTCTCTGTAGACTTAAAAATTTTCAGATGAGCTTCTGTTTCAGTTTTTATCCACGAAATTGATTTAAAGACAGCATAATACTTAGATTATAACAATAGCAACACGGATGGACTAGTCAGTTATTTTCTGGACTTTGAATAGCTAAGAATCAAATAATCAGATTTTGGGGGGAGGCTACTTGGGTGGCAGAAAATGGAATTGATAAATTGATTTTGGTGTAAATGTTTTTGAAATCCATGCATAATTTTTTTTTCCTAAAATGCTTTTTCCATGGACTTTTGAACACTCCCTTCATAGGAGAGTCTGTTCTGCATTTTACTAATTCTGTTTGTCACAGAAAAGCAGAGGGAGGAAGATCATGAGGGGAGGGGCGCCCTGCTTCTCTATCGAGTGCCTGCGTGCCCACTGCCAGCTCAGGCAGACCCCAGGAGGCGCAGTGCCGGCTTCACTGCTCTGGTCCTGGACACTGGCACGGGGGCCTAGAGTGGCTTCCCAACTCCTGGCTCTGGCCTGCCTCAGCGGAGCGCCCTTGGGGAGTGACCCAGTGATGGCAGATCTCTCTCTCTCTCTGACTCTGTGCTATTCAAATAGATAAATTTGAGACAAGTGTCAGTGCGTGGGGAGGTCTTCTGTTTGTTCAAGTGGACGTCGGGGGCGGGGGGATTCCTTTTCTGTAAGTGCTTCCTTCAGCTGGAGCAGCAGCCGGGGGCGGCGGTGGGGTCGGAGGAGAATTTCCCAACGTTTTCGCTCCTTTCGAATGCAGATGAGCAGAGCCAAGCTACGTGTGTCTTGAATCCAGAACGAATTTCTGAAAATAACAGATAAAACCGTAATCTCGTTGCATATTAAGACCTACACATTAACATAAATGCCAGTTTAGGGGTACCATTAACAACCAGAAAATCACGTTTTCCACGTGTGCTAATGCACAAACATGAAAGTTAATGGCAGGAACCCAGCACCCTTCAGAGCAGGGCCGTGTGGGGGCTGCTGTGCGTGGCCCTGGGAGTTCACGTGCGAACAGGAAGGAAGGGCGTGATCAAAGGTTGGAAAATGACTTTCTGGGAGTCTGATCTTAAGGCCATGAAGAGAGCTGCATTTCAGCGCCAGCGTGTCCGTGCATCATTATGGTCGTGTAGAATCGAAGGTGATTTGCATCCTTCGCCATACCCAGGTGCAGGGAGACCTCACTTTAAAGTGGGCCGCAGCTAACCGAAGGAGAGCAGTCCCCTAAGAGCCACCCAGAAGACAGCAGTGCAGTGAAAGCCGCGACGGCCCCCTTAGGGATCTGCACCCCATGTATAAAGAAAACGCTGACCAGTCCTTTGTTTCCCACCAAACTCTAAATTTGCAACACTGAAGCCGTCCCGCGTTTTCCCTGGGAAGGCCGGGCTGCCCGGGACCAGCCCCGGGCGGGCGCACATTCCTGCTGACTCGGGGCGGCAAGCGAAACTTTGTGTTTCTCGCCCGGCAACAAAGTTTCCGCCGCTCTTCCTCCCCCTCTCGCCTCCGGGCTCTGCGGCGGGAACGCGGGCGGAGCCGGGTGCGTGCGCGCAGGCACGCGGGCAGCCGGGCGCCCCGGGGGCCCGGCCGGGAGCGCCGAGAGCGCGCGAGCGAGCGCGCACGCCCTCATGAATATTTAGGAACCGCCGCACCTTCCCAGCGCGAGTGAAAAGGAGTATTTAGCGAGGAGCTGAGCTGGGCTGATCTGCATGTGAATCGGGAAGGGCCATAAAAGGATGAAAAGGTGGGGTGGGGGACCTTGGGACACAACCCGTGGTCCCCGGGGGGCCATTCATCCCGGCCAGCCCACCCCGTCCCCGGCCGCCTCTTTGAGCAGAGCCGGGTTCCAAAGGCGCTTGGCAAAGGATGTGTGCGCTTTGTTCTCGCGCGCGCACTTTTTTTTTTTAAAGAAACAAAAATTGCTGTACGGTTCGGCCATTCTTCTTGGTTGCTGCCAACCATTGGAGGGCTGTATCGATATCTGGCAAACCAGACACCTTATACGAAGGGAGCAAGACCGAGATTTTTAAATGGTGACATCTGGCCGTGTTTTAAGTGCGCAGCTGAGTGGCGTTAACTGCATGCACGAGGTCGGGAGACCATCACCAGACACAGGGGTAACTCAAAAAAAGTTCGTGGAAAAATGAGATAAGCTTATTTTGGTGAAGGAAGGAAGGAAGGAAGATTGAAATGCATGCATACTTTTCTCTCATAGTACTCATTTTCTGTGAACTTTTCAAAGTGCCCTTGTTTATCTCCATAACTTTTTCATTTTGTCCAACAGAAGTTCTGCACGTAAATGGTAACTCCCGTTCGGCAGGAACCAGAGTGTCAAGTGTTCTTGGCTGTTGGGATTCCCTGCACTTGGTTTGGGAAGGCTGGGTTTGCAGAGCTACCAGGAGTTGGGGAGGGAGAGTCCACGGGAGGAGAGGCTGGAAAAAAAATTTTTTTTCCTTCTAAGTGTGATTTGTCAGGACATTGAACTCAAAGGATGGAAATGGACAGGGGACAGACAACCTGGATGTCAAATGGCCATACTGGTTTTTATTGGAATGAAAGAAAATGACTGTCAAGTAGCCTCTGGAATTTCTCCATTTTGACAAGGAATTGTTTTATGCCAGAATTACAAAATCAAAAACAAAACCTTAGTCGTACCGTACGGTGCCTGAGCCAAAGCAGGTAGGTTACATATTTACAGAGCTAACCCACCAACTGTTTGGGGATGCACCGAACTTGATCGAAAGACTGAAGCGAAAAGGATGGTCTCTATATAACCAAGTATTAAAAAAATATATATTGCTGGACCCATTTTACACATTTCTGGGCAAGTATTCTGATCAAATTCCAACACAAGGAAACAGCATAGAGGAAATTTGCAGAAATTTCTAAACCCTGCAAATTCCCGTTGAACTTTATGAATCTTTAATGAAAACCTAAGTCCAGTGCAACAAGAAATGTGCATAGTTCTACTGAGTTCCTTCTAATGGGACCTTTTTTTTTCCCCCTAGCATCTATGGCAAGGGTCCCTCTCTCCCAATGACCATTATCTGTTGAGACTACACGTGAGTGACTATGTTCCCTCATTGGAAGCCAGGTCTGTTCCTGTCACCGATTCTTTACAGGAATTGTGATAGTTTGTGTAATGTCAAGATGGGATTATCCAGAAGGCCCTCAGGGCAGGTGTTGGGAAAGGGGTTGGGGGCGGGAGCAAGGTCTGAGCTGGAGGCCCAAGGGGACCAGGGGAAGCTGGTAAATTGGTAACTTGCAGTTCGAAGCACTGAGGAAAACCAGCACTCATCAGCTTAAACTAAAAGATTAGTCACCCAAGGTAATCAGGGACTGTGAGGCAAACACTGCAGAATGTAGGAATTCAAATGCTGTCACAGGGAATGCTCTGCTCTCCTGGGTGTTGGCATCCTTCTTTGGCGACCTCTTATCATGAATCCCTACGACACAGCTTCACCCTCTAAAGCCAGCAATGACACCTGGATAAAAAGTGATCTCCTGCAAGCCTCATCAAGTGTGGTGGCTATGGTGGACCACCACTGTGGTCCAGGGCATGCAGCCTGGGCCATAGGCACACGCACTGGTGGTGGGGGCATGAAGGCTCTCCAAAATCACATGGTAGATTTGCCCATGGAACAGGAGAGATGGCTGGGAGAGGAGGAGGAGGACAAGGCGCGGCGGAGCGGGGCAGGGGAGTGTGTTGGGTAGACAGCAGCTGTGTTTCCCACGTTTCACTGCGCGGTTGCTCCTTCACTGAGCTCAATTGTTGGTTCATTTGTGGTAGTCGTAAGGGTTAGCCAGGAGGCTGGCCGAATGCCTGCTACTTCGGACGTAATGCAAGTGTGTGTCTCGGTCAGGCAACGGCGCTGTGGACGTGGGCAGCCCTGAAGGAGGATGCCTCTCCATGCAGTTACTGGGGGCCCCGATTGCAAGCAGTCCCCCTACCAGCCTTGCTGAATGGGCCAGATGCAGGACTCTGTGAGCCAGGCCTGGAAGGGAGTGCACCCCCTTGGCTCTTGAATATTTGCTGGACCTCAGGTAGCTCACGGGAGGAAGAGGAGGGAACCGGTTTTGGGGAAACTGCTGCCATCTTTGCCTCAGCAGTGCCCGCTATCCTGAAAGTGGTTTCGGAGACGAGAGGCATGTGCAGTGGCCTGGTGATGGCAGGTATTGAGTTCCGGTGAGCTCAGTCTCCTGGTGTCTCCTCCACCAGTGAGCTGGGATGAGCATCCCCATTGGAAGGTAAAGAAAACATGCAGAGCGGTGACTTAGCTTGGCTCAAGGTTGCAAAACTACCAACTGCGGGAGCCAGGATCTGACGAGAGACTAGATGGCCACCCAGGGTTGCTGCTCGTGAGACTGATGGGTTGTAATGTCAAGGCCAAGATGGTGTCAGCTCCTAGAAAATGCTCAATCGGTGCAAATCATGGAAAACACACAGTATGAAAAAAACTGTGCATGAAGTCAAAAAATTTCTGCACCTAAATGAACTTGTCTTTTACTTCCATTTTCTGTGAGCTTTCCGCAGGGCCCTGGCATTATTAATGTGCTCCGCTGGTTACGTACAGCGTCTCTGGGAAATGGGTCTGGGGAGGTTGAATTTGGGAGCTCAGACAGAGGCCCCAGAAGCAGGTTCCAGAATGCTTTCTGCTATGGAGTCCACATGACCATTAGGGAAACTGGGTCCATGTGTGAAAGCAGTTCAATTGTGGAACCAGTCAAGGGTCAACGGAGGGCATGAGAACCTTCCCCACTGACTGCAGACCTCGTCCTGCTGGTGGGACCCTGTCCCGCTCCTTACCCCAGTGGTCGCTCCCTTCCGGCCCTGTGCTTTTCAGTCCACATCAGCTCCTGGGGAGCCTGCTCTGCACAGCCTTCCCTTGCTCTGGTCCCCAGGCCAGCTAGTCCCACATCCCGGAAGGCTCCTGAGCACACACCCATGGAAGAACTACTCCTTCGCTCAGTCGATTTTGCCGCTTGTCCCTTGGACAGCTTTCTTGACCGCAGAGACCACTACTCACCTTTGCATCCCTGAGGTCGAGCGTTGCGTAATAAGAGGAGGCAGTCTGAAAATAGTGCTGGGTGCTAATGAGCACGAGAATGATGGCAAATGTTTTCTTGGGTGATCGCTGTATTGCAGACGCAGGCTGAGGGCTGGTCATCATTGCCTCGTATCATCCTCACCGTAAGAGCGTGAGTCCTCTTAGCAGTGGGTGCTTTTGCAGCCGAGGAGACCGAGCATCGTGGAGGTCAAGCGGCCTGAGCGAGGCCGCACAGCACATGGAGCTTTTCCTCACTTTGCTGTATGGCCTCTTTGGGGCAACTTTGAGTCGGTGACCAACACTCCTACATCCTGCTCCGTGCTGGGGGCATGGAGACAGCAAGGAGGAGCAAAGGAGGCAAAAGTAGACCCATGAACAACAGCCCAGAGAAGTCTGGGGTGCTGGGGGAAGAGCAAAGACAGAGCCCCATTACCCCAACCAGGTAGCAAACAAGGCCAGAAAGCAGGACCCCGAAGCCTGGAGAAGCTGTGGAGGGCCGAAGGGAAGGAGCCTTTCCCTGAAGGGTCGGCAACTGGGCCTGGGCCCCCAGGAGCTGGCAGCAGCCGGCAAGGAAGAAAGGGCCGGGACCTCTGACTCCACAAAATACTGATGCGCATGTCTGGGAAACAGTGGACACGCTTGGCTCAGGTCTTGGCTGAAACTACATGAAGTCAGGCTCCGGGGACCACTGCTGGTAGTTTTCTGAGATTCTTCAGCAACTTGTAATGTTCCCAACGCTGGTGATTTTTCAACTAAAACTCCTTTGCCCTTTTCCTAATTTGTGTTTGTTTTGCAGGCAGCAGGGTCAGGGAGAGGCAGGGAAGCCTTGTCCCTCTGGGCAGTGGGTCCTGGGAGAAGAGGCTGGTACAGAGAAGCAGTTCGCTCACCTGGGAGCTGGGGCCTGGCCAGAGGGAGCCCGCAGGTGGGGCCGGGAGGGGGGCTGCATCAGGGGCTGATCCCCCTGGAACTTGACTCTCGGTCCCAAGGAGGATCCCCTGCAACAGAACTCCGTGTTAGTGCTGGGGGAAGCCGTTCCCTTACCCTAAAATCTCCCTCTGAGGAAATGTCCTCGGAAGACATACTGAGAGCTTTAATTGCCGTGAAGATCTTTGCCCCACCTCGGGGCCTCCTTTTGACACCTGAATAAGGGGGAAAAGAGCCAGTGAATGACAACATGTGCTAGTTTTCTGAAATTCACCCGTGATTCCAATCAAATTCCAATTGAAAATGGATGGCAGACTCAAGGATGCTTTTAGTCTGAAATGCTTTCGAAACAGTCAGAAACCCGGATTTTTTTCTTCAGCAGTTTGGGTCTTGGCGAAAGATTTCAAAGCGGGCTGGGAATCTGAACGGCGCTCTCCAGCTGCCTGGAGCCACCTGGAACTCTAGGACGTGGAGGTGGCCTGGAGCCCACAAACACCGGGGGCTGGAAAATGCGAGGAAGTGGTTGTGCTCCAAACTTGAAATCCAAAGCTGCTCTCACGGTCACTTTCTAGCGGTGATTTTGGGGAGCGAGTTAAATTTTTTTCCTTTTGCTCTCTTCTTCCTCAGGCATCACTTTACTTCCTGTGCTAATGAGAATGATGTCGCTAAGGCAGCAGAGATGAAGTATGGACCCCTGAAACAGGGACAAACGTAGGGCAAAGAACAACCATCAGTCTTGTGTTAGGCAGTTCTTCAAAAGCTGCCGAAGGTTTACGTCCAGGAAGCTCAATGATGTGAAGAACAAGGTCGTGGGGTGGACACATGATGGTGCTACCCAGCATATGCTATATTGTGAATAAGAAGTCCTGTCGAGTCAAACCAGTAAGGTTTGAGGCTAAAGGGACTCCTGGCCACTGGCTGAGACAGGGGACAGGCTGGAAATCTGGTGGCCAAGACCTCCAGTGACATCAGAGGGGATGGGAGGAGCCAGAGGTGGAGCCTGAGGGAGGGAACTGTTTGCTCCGTTCAGACTTATGTCACTCACCAAGTGAATGACAGCTCAGCGTTAAAACACACATTTTGCTTTAGGAAAATCTGGTATAAAAGCAGGCCATTTAAGCTTTTTGTGGTCCACACAGCATTACGATATCTTGGCACATAATCATGTAGACAAGTTACAATAAATCATTTTGGTAAAAACAGGTCTCGGGAGGAACATTCTTACCAAGCTCCTCACAGTGTAGGGAATCAATTGTCCTTCACACCAAATCGCCTCCCAGGTGTCTACTGATGACACACAGCCCTCTTGGCGAACGAGAAGACCTACGCTGCAAGTGTGAACTCTGTCCGTCATTACGAGCGCAACAGGGCGTGTGGTCACTGTAATGAAGCCAGACTCATGCCGGGGTCTCAAAAAACGTTTGTTTGAAACTTCCTTTTTCCTTTCAGCTACCTTGATTTTATCGTGCGCGCTCCTGCCCTCTTCTTGCTATGCGGCTCTGAAAGCTGCTTTGATACTGATGGTCGGGTTGGGCTCCCTGGACACATTTCTTGGAGGCCCCATGTGTGGCCTGGGGCTGGGCAGTGGTGGCAGAAGGAGGACATCCTAATGGAGTCGGCTGAAATGGGAGTCTGACCCGGCGTGGGATAGGGTGGGGATGACATTCAGGGAATCGGCAAGGAGCGGCCGTGGCCAGCTGCCCACAGGTGATCTCCTGGAGGCACCTGCAGGACCCACTTGGGTCCTACCCTGAGGTTTTCAGTTCCTCCAAAACAAGAGCTATTTTTCCCATGGTATCTGATTTAAAAAAAAAAAAAAAAAAAAAAAAAGTAGTCTGCTGGCTACTGCTTACCCAATGTCTGGTGAGACAGGAGGAAAGCAGATCTGTTTTTGCTGAGTGGCCCAGAGGGCAGACGCCCTCAGGGCTACTTCACTCTTCTGCTCTAGCACGGAGAAGGGGCCTGGGAAAGCCTTGAACAGGCTAGCACGGCCCAGCGGGTGCTGGAATGTTTGTCACGTTTTAATGTATGTATTTTATTTTATTTTTTAAGATTTATTTATTTATGCAAAAGGCAGAGTTAGAGAGAGGGAGGATCAGAGAGAGAGAGAGAGAAAGGGAGAGAGAGAAAGAGAGAGAGAGAGGGAGAGAGAGATCATCCATCTACTGTTCCACTCTCCAAGTGGCTACTATGGCCGAGGGCCGGGCCAGGCTGAAGCCAGGAGCCAGGAGCTTCCTCTGGTCTCCCACTTGGGCCACCCTCCGTTGCTTTCCCATATGCATTAGCAGGGAGCCGGGTCAGAGTGAACCAGTACCAACATGGGCCGCTGGCCGCTGTAGATGGCGGCTCAATCCAATACACCACAAGGCCAACCCCTGGATGTCACATTTTAAACACTGAGTCAGAAGTGGGTGGTTAGCCTAGCCTGTTTAGATTCATGCATTCCACATTGGAGTGACTGGGGTGAATTCTCGGCTCCCATCCTGACTCCAGCTTCCTGACAATGCAGAGCCCAGTAGACAGGGTGTTGGCTGCTGCCAACCAAGTGGTTGATCTGGGTTGAGTTCCTGGCTTCCAACTTCAGCTCTGACCTAGCCCCAGCTGTTGTGGATGATTGGGAAGTGAACCAGTGATGAGAGCTCTGTCTCTGTGTGTCTCACTGCCTCTGAAATAATAATTATAAAAATAGAAGTTAAAAATAAGCCCTGGATCAGCACACTGCTGTCAATGAGAACCATCATAGTGGAACCTATGATGTCTGGTGAGCCTCTATAAGGCCGGGAGGCCGGCGTCTGTCCACCTAACCCCCACACCTTCCAAAGACCCTATCCTCTCAGCTCCCTCAGTGGATGGCCAGCTCAGTTGCTTCCAAGGCAGGGGCAGGAGAATGCAGCCTCCCCTAGTCCACTGTGGTCTCGCTGTTGCAGAGCTGTGTCTGCTGTCCGGCAGCTGAAAATGGGTCTCGGGGTGCGTGGAGGCCCCGGGCCAGCTTTTGATCAACTGCTGCTGCTGCTGACAACACAGCGGCCTGGGATCCAGGCTCCCAGCAGGTTGTTTGTCCTTCTACTTCCTAGTGTCAGCAGTCTTGGGAACAGGAAATGGTTTGTGCAATAGGAAGTGGCAGAAAACTGATGACTAAATACTTTTGAACTCTGTGGATAGTTTCAACGTAAACAGAGATATTTACACACATTCCAAAATGCATGTGTATTGATAAATATGAGTTCTATCCGGGCCTCGTTCTTTTTAGTTTCTAAAATGCTGGTGCTTATTGAATTCTTACTGAGACCCAGGTATTCTCTAGGCACTTCATGTTTGGGAACAAAGGTAACCCTAACAGCCTTGTGTTGCACTGTCCCATTTTACAGGTGAGCAAAAAGAGGCAAGAGATCATTTAAGCAACTTCTGGGAAGTGGCAGAGCCGAGAACTGGACCTAGGACCGCCCTCCCTCTGCAGGAGGGAGGTTCCAGGCCTCCATTCAGCTTTGACATGCGGGAGAGGCATCTCTACAGTCTGGGCACATGGTTCAACGGTGGGGCTAAGGTATTATTAGCTCATATTTGCACAATGCACAGGAAGTACTTATTAAAAGGGCCCAAAGCACTTGTCTAAGCATAAAGATGAAAGTCCCCCCTCCACCCACCCCTCGGGGCTCGGCGTTGAGTGGCCCTGACACAGGCACTGCCTGCTTCTTTCCCTCCTGGGCTCCGTGTCTGCTCCCTGCCCCCACACAGAGTGGCAGGGCCCGGCTGGGGCGGCCTGATCAAGGGCAAGTGTGCCTTCATGAAATCAGGCATGGGACCAGCTGAAATGTTGAAACCAGTCAGCTGAGGGGGAGACGAGAGTCAAGTCTGGCTGCGCCGGTCCCCAGAGGTCAGGAAGCTGGCACAGAGAAGGGCTGGCTCTCTGGTCCCCAGCAGCCCCGAGAGGAACTGGAGCCAGCGGCAGCTTGCTGCCGGCATGTCAGCTGAGCGGATGGGCTGCAAAACTGTCTTCAAACTCCCGGAATCCAGGTCCTTCTTCTCTTTCCCCAGCACACAACTTAGTTTGTTTTTCTAGTTCCCGCCTCCCTTCTTTCTGCTCTTCTGGTAGCTTTACCTGCACAGAGAAATGGCACCAGCACTGGCTGTCACGGTTTGAGCTTGCAGTGTCTCGCTAGTACTTAATCCCCGGCTCACACTGTAGATATAGGGCATGCCTTCTGGAGCTGTTAAACCAAAAGTGTTACTCCTTTCACTAGGTTACATTGTACTTCCATCCACAAATCCACACTCGCTAGTAAGGAATATTGAGAAAAATGCAGTTCAATTAATGCCAGTTAATCGAGCTGGTGGCCCTTGAAGATCTATAAAATGTAACTGTAACATACTTTTACAGATGGGCTTAGACCGAATAATTAGGAAACAGTAAATGCTGGCGTCATCAGTATTACTTGTCCAGCTCAGCAAAGGAACACGAGTGGCTACGTAGAGAGGGGAGGGAGCAGAACAGAGATACTTTGGTGTGAAATGCAGTTTATCATAAGGAAGGTGATTACTCATTGTTCAGCACTGGCAAGAACCTGTTTTAAAAAATATTATTTGGGGGTGGGGGAAATAGCAAAACCGAAGGCTTTGTGATTTCAATGTAACTGGGTGAACATGACTTTCATGAACCTTTCTAAATGTGGACATATGAAGGGACTTCTGAAAGTTTGTGTTAAAGCAGGATTAAAAGATGGGTTTATTGGGGCCGGTGCTGTGGTGTAATGCGTAAAGCCTCAGCCTATGACACTGGCATCCCATTCGGGCACTGGTTTGAGTCTGGGCTGCTCCACTTCCGATTAAGCACCTTGCTAACGTGCTTGGGAAAGTAGTGGAAGATAACCAAAGTGCTTGGGCCCCTGCACCATGTGGGAGACCTCCTGGCTCCTGGCTTCAGATCAGCCCAGCTCAGGCTGCTGCAGCCATTAGAGGAGTGAACCAGCAGATGGAAGATTTCTCTGTCTCTGCCTCTTTTGGTAATTCTGCCTTTCAAATAAATAAATAAATATTTTTTAGCAGATAAATATATTTTTTTGACAGGCAGAGTGGACAGTGAGAGAGAGAGACAGAGAGAAAGGTCTTCCTTTTCCGTTGGTTCACCCCCCAGTGGCTGCTGCGACCGGCGCACTGCGCTGATCTGAAGCCAGGAGCCAGGGGCTTCTCCTGGTCTCCCATGCGGGTGCAGGGCCCAAGGACTTGGGCCATCCTCCACTGCACTTCCGGGCCACAGCAGAGAGCTGGCCTGGAAGAGGGGCAACCGGGACAGAATCCGACGCCCTGACCGGAACTAGAACGCGGTGTGCCGGCACGCAAGGTGGAGGATTAGCCTATTGAGCCACGGTGCCAGCAGCAAATAAATATTTTTTAAAAATTCAAAAGAAAATTTTAAAAAAAGATAGGTTTATTCTGGTGCAAAAATTTCTTGAAATCTATGCATGCATTTTTTCATAATATGCATTTTCATGAGCTTTTGGAAGACCTCACCTATACCTAAAGAATCTATATGTATATTAGACACAAAATTATCTATTCTCATTTTAGTTAGTAAGAACAAATAAACTCATGTTTACTGGACATGAAGATATGAAACAAAGTAATTTTCTAAATATGTAAAGATGATGCAAATAGAGGTAATAGTCCAAAAAGTTTTAGTAATTGGTATAGCATGGGTATCAAGGGACTAGATTGTCTGCCTGCCCTGGTACTGCACCTGTGGTTTCTGGGTCCCAGGGTGAGTCCCAGATTTGGGTATATTGCTCAGAGGAGTGACTGTTCACCGAGTGTAGTGCAGAGATTTCAACTTTTTTTTTTTCCCAAAAATTTTACTGATTTTGAAAAACAGTGAGAGAGAGAGAGAGAGAGAGAGAGAGAAACTTCCATCTCCTTGCTCACTCCCCAAATGGCCCCAACAGCTGGGGCAGGGCCAGGTTGAAGCCAAGAGTGTATTAGCAGGGAACTGGATAGGAAATGGAGCAGCCAGGATGGAAACCAATGCCCGTATGGGATGCAGATGTTGCAGGCGGTGGCTTAACCTGCTGGACTATGGCACTGTCCACATATTTAAACATTTACAAATGAACACAGCAGTACTGGTGTGTACTGGTTGACTACCAGGGCAGCAGACAATCTCCTATCTAAAAAAGTAAAAAAGGGAAAATGATTCTGATAAAATCACATCACTATGCAAGCTGTTTTAATGTGAGGAGGTACTCATTTTCTGACCTACTACAGATTCAGAAGACTACGGCTGCTCTGGCCCACTTGCCTCCAGCGCTATGTCTCTTGCCGAGTATGATGTTTCTCGCACTCAACAAGCCTTCTCAGCAGTCACCGGATCACACTGCACACAGTGTACGCACAGCCAAAGGCTAGGGCTCCCATCACGGCCCTCCCACGTCCCTGTGACACTGAAGGCACAGAACGCTTGCACCTCAGATGCTGTTGTGAGCAGCTTACACAGCTGCCTGCCCTCCCTAGAGGCCAAGGAACTCTACATTTCTGTTTTTCTTTTGTTCAATGAAATAAGTAATTATTGAGAGTGGGCTGCTTCTAAGGCACTTCAAGAACAGGAAGAGGAATAAGGCTCTACTTGTAGCAAGTTCTTCTGCTAAGAGTTTGAGATGAAATTTTTTTTGTGCTCTTCTTTTTATTAAGTTGTAATGTGCTAAAGAAAAAGAAAAGATTTGGCCTTAATCCTTTGAAAACTGTAAAAATGTAAGCTTTTTACCCAAATGTATTATATTGTCTATGGGAAACCAAAAAATCCTTAAAATATTTTTATTTCAGTAAGGAATGTAAAAATTGGACACCTATATATGTTTAAATAAAATGTTTATTGCCATTGCATGATCACGCATACACATATAGGGCCATCCTAGGCACAGAAATGAAATTACCACCAAGTAACCTGATCTTGATGAGAAAATTTTATCCAGAATCACAGAATTTTAGAACTCCTGAAGACTCCCAAGGTCACTTAGTTCAACTCACAGACAGACTGAATTAGTTACTCAGGGCTTTGTAGCTTATTAAGATGGAATTCATAAGGCCTTTTTTATACCCAGCTCAGCAATCTTTTCTCTATACAACACCAGCTGTATCTCAATTAGATACAAGGGCTCAGTATTTGAAAAAACTTAACATTACCACTGAAAGGAAGAAAGACTCAAAGATGCCAGCTATTTCGGTCCTTAAAATTCAAAGCTCTTGGGCATCTACCTTTAACCTACAGAAGGGCCAGTGTCCTGTGGTAAGTCACTTACCAGTTTGAAGGTCTGGATTGAATTCTGTCCTCAGCATCTACTACCTGTGTGACAAAAGTCAGGTTCTTTAGTTAACCCTCTGGGGCTTGGCTTATTCAACTGTAAAATTGGGATAATTATTAACCTAGAGTCTTTGGGCACTCAGTTACTAAGGGCCTGACCCTTCGTTGGGGCTCTTATAAAATGCCAGTCTTCTTTTTGGTCTCTCCTCAGTCCCCTTGGGAGCTCATTTTAGACGGCACAGATCCGCAGAAATTACTGGAAAGTTACAGTCAGTCTGTAAGTCACATTGTAGTAAAGGACAATGGCATTTCATCAAATATCTGGGACACGAGCAGTTACTTCCTCTGCTCATACAATGTTTACCCATGCTAGCTGTTTAAAACTAACTCACAGACCATGAATTACACCGAATCTGTTTAATACATTAAAATATAATCACAGATTCATCCTGAATGATTTGGATCCTGAAGGAAGAAGGCCATTCAGCGCAGTTCAGGGGCACGCTGCTGACATCATTTTGCAGTCCTAAAGCCAGGGGTCGGTCTGAAAGTTGATCAAAACAAAATGCATTTTTAATTCACTCTCATATTCCTATAATTAATGGACACTTTTAGTTGAGGTTTCTGTTTCAATATGGAACGAAGCAGCTTGCATTGCATGGCTCAAGGGCCTGAATCCTGGCAGAGACTGTTTTTACCTCTAGAGTTTCACTTAGGGTCAAATGAGTAGAAACCTTACACCGTCAGTTAACATTTAACCACTGTGCAGTGCAGTGGTTTCAGCTGAACGTTGGTACTACATCTGGAACTGCCCTGCTAGTGGTTTGAAAAGGCAGGAAAATTAACATGGGAACGGCTGTGGGGAATCTCACAAACGCTGAATTTGTACTGAGAGATAAATATGCCTGCAGTTGATTGATTCATTTCCTTGTAGTTAAAACAGTGCCCAAGTCCCTTCATGGACAAACACTTAGGCTTGGCACTGCAGGCCAACCAGGACCTGGCACCCACTACTCTCCATGGAAACGCCTATCCTACACCCTGGCACTTTCCTCCTCTCCAAGTTCTTGTTCGTGCCTTCCCCGTGCACTTGGAGCCTTCCCTTAGCCACGGGTCAAACCCTGTGCCCTCGTGCAGCTGTGTAGGCTTTCCAGAAGAAAGGGCAGTGCTCAGCGACCCTGCGACAGCACTGTGTCTGCTCTGCACTTGGCAGTTACCAGGTAACTTCAAAAGATGGTGGCATTAAACTCCCAGCTTAGTCTGAGAGTTAACCACCTCTGGGTTAACGATATTCAACAACAGGTATTCAGAAGGTTTGATTACCATATTCACACTTAAAACCTGCCATTTGCAGTCTTTCAAATAGCACCTCCTATATATTGCACAATTTAAAATGATACCCAAGACATCTATTAGGACAATAAACAACTACAGACATATCAAAAACTTTCCTCTTCCCTTTGAGGAAAACTAAAGGATTAAGATTTCTAAAAAGGCAGGCCGCCTGCACCCATGTGGGAGACTCAGAAGAAGTTCCTGGCTTTGGATCCCTCCAGCTCCAGCTGTTGTGGCTGTTTGGGGAGTGGCCAATTGGGGAGTGAACCATCGGATGGAAGACCTCGCTCTCTCGGCCTCTGCCTCTCTGTAACTCTGCCTTTCAAATAAGTAAACGGCTCACTAGGCTAATCCTCCGCCTTGCGGCGCTGGCACACCGGGTTCTAGTCCTGGTCGGGGCGCCGGATTCTGTCCCGGTTGCCCCTCTTCCAGCTCTCTGCAGTGGCCAGGGAGTGCAGTGGAGGATGGCCCAAGTACTTGGGCCCTGCACCCCATGGGAGACCAGGAGAGGCACCTGGCTCCTGCCATCGGATCGGCGCGGCGCGCTGGCTGCAGCGCACTGGCCGCGGCAGCCATTGGAGGGTGAACCAACGGCAAAGGAAGACCTTTCTCTGTCTCTCTCTCTCACTGTCCACTCTGCCTGTCAAAAACAAAAAACAAAAAACAAAAAAAAAACAAAAAAAGATTTCTAAGAAGAACACTGACAAAAAGTCATCAAACAGGGGATCTTTAAGTCCAAGAAACACTTTAGCTCCTGCGAGAACTTCTCAGTGATGAAGACAGAGAAGTGTTCAAATATTGTAAATTTTCCCTTTTAAATGTCAAGAACAGCAAAAAGCAAATAGAACCTATCAAATGTAAGAGAATAGAAAAGAGATTTCCACTCATGGTTAATTACTGATCATTTTTAGGGCCAACAGATTAGATGACATAATTTCTCACAGTGCAAGAAAGCTATTACATGGCCCTTCAACAGGACACGCTATAACTAGTGTATATTGTAACATTGTGAATATTGTATTATGATAATTTTTTGATAATTGAGGCTTTGCACATTAATTCAAAATTTTTAAGTTTCTTGAAGGGAAGACGTGTATCCCAAGAGCTTTTGTATTCCTTGCCGAATCTTGTGCATATTGGATAATTACTGCTGTAATATAAGGGTTCTTTGAAAAGCTTATGGAAAAATGGAATCAAAATTTCAAAACCTTTTGAAATCCATTTTTTTTCCTAACAAGTGTTTTTGAGGAACTTTTTGTTTGAAGTACTCTCTGTGTGTATCTAAAATGCTTGAGGCAGGAGCATAGGGGAGGACAAAGGAGAGGCACCGAGGGTGTCTGGGATGGGGCAGGTACCTCCACTGAGAGCCACTGCCCTCTGCGGTGGGTCCTGAGGTGGCCAGGGACCGGCTGCTCCTTAGCATCATCCGCCCACCTCCAGTGTTTGCTGCAAGGATTGCAGGAACGACACAGGTAAGGGTTTCCTGGTTTCTGGTACAAGTGCTTAGTTCTTTCTGAATAGCTATTTACTGAGTACTTATGTTGACCATGTGCTTTTGAGGTGTTGGGAATTCCAAACAGAAGAGAGTAAAGTCCTTGCTCTCATGGAGCTCACGGTGTAGCGCCAGGTGGCAAACAAACTGAACTAGTCATATATGGCAGGTGGAAACCAATGCTGTGAAAAGTAAAAGGAGGGGAAGTGTGTGTGTGCCTGTGCACTCCATGCACGGTTTCATCCAAGGTATTAAGGGAGGCTTTCTCTGGGGAGACCAGACAAAGTCAGGGAGCCCAGCTGGCAGATGGAGGAGAAAGGGCATCCTTGGGAGAGCAAACGACAAGTCTGGAGGCCTGGTGGGGAAGCTCGCTTGGCGAGTTCAAGGATCAGGAGGGGCTCTGGGGGCTAGAGCCCAGTGGGAAGGGCAGAGCAGGACTGGGAGGTCGGCAGGTCAGCAGCAAGCAGGGGTCGGGATCTGTGAACTCCGGGCTCTCTTCTGCACAGGGAAACCACGTGAGAGAGAAGCGACCGACCTATGTATATCCGAAAAGGTGATACACAGAGCCACCATCAACTGCTGCAGCCCGAACGGACTCCACACGGGCAACGAACGCTGCCCATCACGCTTGTTCCACCCGGTTCAGTCGGATCACCGCCAGTGGTTAAGCCAAATGCAACTGCAGCCTCTGTGGGTCGAAGACGGGGGCACGTGGTCATACGGTTCAACCCGATCTACTGGATGGGGTCCGCGGAAAGGTTCCGAGTCCGCCAGGACTCCTCAGCTGCAGGCTCGCGTTTTCCACGACGTGAAGTGGGGTAACAGCACAAGCGAAGCCATCGGTGTGCACTAACATTAAGTGAGATACAGGACACAGACCCGGCACCCACCACAGGACCCCAGCGCTAGCTACCCAAGCCAGCTGAGGAGGGGAGACTCACATCTTTCACTTCAGAGATCAAATGAGCAAATCAGCGTCCAAACCTTTGAAAGCTCCAGCAGCGTCCGTGATGGTCGTTAGAGACAACAGCTTTGTGATCAAATTCACTAATCCCCGCATTTATACAAACTCATCAATTAAACAGATAATTAGGCGAATATTCTGAGGCTCTTTAAACGGCTGTGGCTGTTGGGGAATTTAAAATACTCGAGTTAAATGATCTTAATGCGTCTACCAAGTCAATTTCCTCTATCAAATTAATTTCAAAACAAACTGTGTTCTTTAAACGCGGACGCTAAAAGCGCCTGGCCACCGACATTCGCTCAACGCCTTACATGCAGACCGGACCTGCAAGCGCCCCTCAGGATTTGGGTAAGGCCAGATTGGAGGGTGAGAACCCCGCGTTCGGGGTTCAGACGCGGCGAGCTCCGCGGGGCTCTCCCAGCCGCCAAGCCGGGTCTGCACCGCGAGCTGAGCGGACACGGTCCGCAGGCTCAGCGGCCGAACCGGGCGCCCCCGGACTCCGCGGCGGCCGCGCCGGACGAGCCCCGCTGACGGGCTCCGAGCGGCCGGACAACGCCGACCCGTCGGGACCGCCGCCCCCGGCCCAGGCCCCCGGCGCCGCTCCCCGGGCCCCGCGCATTCTCGGGGTTCCGTCCCAGCAAATCGCGAGGGGCGCAGAGGACGAAGCCGACGACGGCAGTGGTCACGCGTGGCTCCGCCGGCGGCTGAGGCCGGGGCAGCGCGGCACCGGGGGCTGGGACGTTCCCGGCTGCGTTCCCACCAGAGACCAGAGGGTCTCGGCGGCGCTCAGACCGCGGCCCGCGCGCGCCCGACGGCCGCCGGTGGGGCACCGGGGCGCCCCCCGCACGCCCGGAGACCCCGCGCCCGGCCCCGCCCCCACGCAGGCGCGCTCCGGGCCTCCCCTCCCCCGCCGCGCGCCCGCCGAGCTCGGCGGGGGCGGAGCGACCCCCGGGAGGGGCGTGGACGCCGGGCTCGACGCGCGCACGCGCGCTGCAGCCTCACAGCTACGTGTCGGGCCACGTGACGCCCACCCCAAAGTCCCCCGTGAAGCAACAGGACGTTAGAAAGATTTCTCTTCTGGGGGGGGGGTGGGGGTGGCGGCTGGGGGAGGCTCAGAGACTGGTTTGAAAAAACTACAGTAACGGGCGGCCCCGGCGCGTCGTGGCGCGTCCCGCCGGGATTCCTCTCGCCGGCCGCGCCCGGGCCCGCAGCGGCGGCCGCGGACCCCGCCACCCGGCCCCTCCCACCCGGCAGCCCCGCACCCGCCCCTCCCGTGGTCGCGCCCGCACCGGGCGGCCACCCCGTCCCGGCGTCCAGGCCCGCGCGCGGCCCCTCGGGCCCCGTCCCGCCGAGGGACGCGAGAGGGCGGCAGCACGGCCGCGGCCCGGGCCGAGGGGCGGCGGCGGCGGCGGCGGCGGGAGGCGGGAGCGCGCCGGCCGGGCCCCGCTAACGGCCGCCCTGCGCGGCCCCGCCCGCCGCCCGCCCCCGGCCCTCCCCGCGCCGCCGCCCCTCCCCCCGCCGCCGCCGCCGCCGCCGCCGGCAGCGCCGCCTGAACTGAGGCGAACTCCGCCGCCAAGTGAGTGAGGAGGAGGAGGAGGAGAAGGAGGAGGAGGAGGAAGAGGAGGAGCGCAGTCAGAGCGCGGCGGCAGCGGCAGAGGCGCCTCGGCGGGGACCAGCCCAGAGAGCCCCCGAGCCCGCGGCACAGCGGCGGCGGCGCTGAGCGGGCGCGACCGGCCCCGCGGACGAGCGAGCGAGCGAGCGAGCGGCGGCGGCGGCGGCGGCCCGGCTCCTCCGCGGCCGCACTCGGCCCGCCGAGACCCGCCTCCCGCCCGCCGGCCTCGGGAGGGACGCGCCGAGCCGGGCGGCGGCCGGGAGCGCGTCGGGCCCGGGCGGAAAGTGCCTGCGGGGGGCGGGCGGGCGCGCGGAGCCGGCCGCCCCGGGGCTCGGCGCGGGAGCCAGAGCGGGAGCCGGCGCGGAGCGGGACGCCGAGTCCCGAGCGGCCGGCGGCCGGGGCTCGCCCCCGCCCCTCCCTCCTCTCCGGCGGCGGCGGCGGCGGCGGCGGCGGCGGCGGCGGCGGGCGGAGTGAGCTGCGGAGCCTGGAATATGGTTGGGGAAATGGAAACGAAGGAGAAGCCGAAGCCCACCCCAGATTACCTGATGCAGCTGATGAACGACAAGAAGCTCATGAGCAGCCTGCCCAACTTCTGCGGGATCTTCAACCACCTCGAGCGGCTGCTGGACGAAGGTGAGCCGCCGCCCCGGCCCCGGCCCCGCCGGGCGACCCTTCTTCCCGGCTCGGGATGGTGGCGAGGGCGGGAAGGTCACGGCCGGGCGGGACCGCGCGCCCGGGGGACGGGAAGCCGGGGAAGGCGCACAAAGGAGGACCGGGCCGGGCCGGGCTCGCGGCGGGCGGGCCGGGGCCGGGCGCACCCGCCGGGCAGGACGCCCCCCGCTGGGCCGGGACTCCTCTCCCCCCCACCCCGCTGCCGGCGGCGCGCGCGGTGGAGCGCTGGGAGAGGCTCCTGTGGCTTTGGGGGTCCCGTTTCCGAAAAGCGGAGTGGGGCTGCGCAGGCCCGGGGGCCTCCCCGACCCTCCCCGAGAGCCAGCCCGGGCCGCGCCGCCAGCCGGGCGGGCTCGCGTGTCCCTGGCCCGCCCGCTCGGCCTCGCGTCTCCCCGTGCCCGCCCGCGGGGCGCACCCCGGCCTCGGGAGGCTTGGGTGGGCTCCGCGGACGGGCGGGCCGCGCGGGGTCCCCGTGCGTCTGGAGTTTGGGTGGCCGTGTGAGTACGGGGGGGGGGCAGCGGCCCGAATGACAGCGGGAGCGCTCCCGTCCTTTTGTTTGGGGGAAGCGAGAACTGTTAGGGAGTTCGACTACACTTTTGGGGGGTGGAGCGCCAAGTCCCGCGATGACAGATGGGAGCGGAGTCCCGAGCCGGGCCCGGCCGCCCGCGCCGCCTCGGCCGGGGAGTCGGGGCGCCGCGCAGGGCCGGGGAGCAGCCGGGCAAAAGTTTGCGGGGCCCGGAGCTCGGCGAGCAGGTGGCCGCCGGCCGGCCGCGCGGCGCGCCGAGGGGCTCGGCCGCCCCGCGGAGCCCGTGGGACCCGCGCAAAGTCCGGGAATGCCGTGGCGAGGAGCGTTTTCTGCGTAGCATCCCGGAGAACTGTGTGAAGAAGCGGAACGCTGTCGGCTGTGCCGACGAGGAACAATAGGTTTCGGGGTTTTCAAGAGAACTTGGAGATGTTAAAAATAGATCCGGGGGCCGGGGCCGGGGCCCGCAGCTGGAATGTCAGTCGGGAACAAAAGGCCGGAAATGTCTGCGTGAGGACGGACGCGCGCGCAGGAGCGCGGGCCGCTCGGGCCGCCGGCGCCGGGGTCCCCGCACACCGGGGTCCCCGCGCATCGGGGTCCCCGCGCACCGGGGCGGGACCTGGCCGCGGCCGGGGCCGAGGTCTGCTCGCCGGCTCGCTCGGGAAAGCCCGCTGTCTGTCCCTTTAAGGGGCCCTGCCTCTCCTGGTTGTGTTGGCATTTGAAAGATTGTGGAGGCAGAAAACTTTCTGGAATGTCACACACACACAAAAAATGCAGGAACTCTCAAATCGAGTATTTCCGACTGTGAGCGCTAAGGGGCGCCAGTTATTATTTATTTCTAACCAAGGAAATGTTTGGAGCAAAAATACAGTCAGGTCTGACCTGCGTTAAATTTAGTTGAAACTTAAATTCCGTATTATCGTTTTATGTAATTCTGTCCATGAATGTCTACACATATGGAATGCATTTTGTTTAAAATTATTGACATAACTATCATGGTTCCGGGATAGGACTTTCTTAATTTTCTCCTTGGAGTATTTTGGTAAAGTTATAGTAGTGTTAGTAGTAATTTCCAAAGATAGTGTTTCTTAAATGCATTTGTTAAGAAGGAATCTACGTAGTAGGTGTTAAAATGAAAATAGGCCTTGACAGTATTTTGAGTTGATTAAAATTGCGTTTTTGAAAGTTGAATTCCTTCAAACAGCATTAGGAAATTATAAAATTGGAAATATTTTTACCTCATGTGTACTATTTAAAGGCTAAGTAGTTTGAGTTTGACTAGTACTAAAAAAGTTTCCTACTTGTGCCTTTTCACTGATCTAAAATCGCTAAATAATTTGGAGTTGGATTCCTGTTAAATTTCTAACCTTTGGCCTTAGTAGTAATTAATCTTTCAAACCGAGAAATTTCTGTCGTCACTATCTCTAAAAGATTTTTTTTTTTTCTGGTTGTTAATCGTAACTGTTTTGAGTTTGGAGAGTAGAAAATCCCTAGTTCAGTCGATGATGTTCTAAAGAACTGTTTGTTTGCCCTTTAATGTGGCTTACTCCAGCTCGCTGACTAGTTTCAGCCATTCCGACTGCCCGGGTAAAGGGTGCTGCTGTGTGGTAGTGGGGGTGTTCAGAACAGACGGCATGATGTCAGGAAACTTGATTGTTTTATCAGATCAGTACAAACCTGCAGGAAGAGGGGCTATTCCTCAGTGTGGAATAAGCTGCTTCCTGTAATTGTTAGCCTTATTATAAGCTTGATATGAGTTAAGAAAAATGTCAGTTTTTTGAGTGCATTACATTTTTTTCCCTTGCCGAATGATTTAACTGTGAAATTTGGCAAATTGCACTTTAGCCCTTTGTAGCCTGTCATTGTCCAAAATAAATTAATCGTGACTTTTGTTTGTGGATTGGAGTTACTTTTCCTTTGTCCATGATGCTTGGCTGAAAAAGTAGTTACTAGTTTCAAGTACAGCTGTAAATTCTGCTTTATCGATTAGTTTCTTGGAGTTAAGATATTTTACTAGCAGAGGTATTCGATTATTAAAAATTGTAAATGAGACCATTTAGGAATTTTGTTGCGAAGTGCTTTGCAATGTGCAGATTTGTTCTTAAGAATTTGCCTGTCAGTTTGAGAATTTTTATTTGTCCATGTAAAAATTCGGGAGCTAACAATGCTAGGTTTTCCTATTTGCTTAAAACTTGAATGTGTTAGAAGGGGCATTTTGTTACATGTCAAGGTAACCTTTAGTCTATCTTCACAGATAGCTTTTCTAATTGTTTTTGTTTGGGCGAGTTGCCAGTTTTTCCTGCCATGTTTCTTCAACATTTTTTTTTTTATTTTTATAAAGTTTGAATGTGTTCCAGGTTGGACCAGTCATATATATAAAGGATATAACTTAATTATTTCAAGCATAAGAGTCTTTCACTGAAGATTTATTGAGATGATTACAGATAAAACCTGGGACTTAAACTGTTTTTATCTGAACCCTGAGAGACCACCCGTGGGAAAGAGCAGTTAGTACACAAAGTTTTCTTCTTAAAGACCTTTCTTTGTTATGAAAATGAAACCTAACAGCAGTAGTTGAATGCAAACTCTTTTTTAAAAAATAAAGTTTTCTCATTCAGAATCCAGAAAGTGAAGAGTAAAATAAATTGGACTTAAAACTCTCAAGCAGGAGAATAGTGGAGAATGACATTTTTGATAATCAGATTTTGGCTTTTCATTTTTTTGGGGTGGAGAGGAGGCTAAAATTGATCTGAAAATAAAAAATGTATAGTATGGTGAGAAAAAGAGAATCTAAATCTTTGTTGTGGATATCAGAAAACTTGGCATGTATGTGGCTCAAAAGTGAGCAAACATGTTCTAAATTACTGAATTGAAAAATATAATTTCTGATGGTCTTTTTAAAATAATTTTTTGACAGTTTAGTTTCTTTGCTTGTTTCCTTTCCCTTAAAAATGTGAGGGAAATTATTTTTATTGAGAACTTGCTTTATTAGTTAAAATTTTTGTTTAATAATGTTTCTACTTAACGCATTCATTATTGAATTATACCCTCAGTTTTCTTTCACTTTTTATTCCCCCAGATACCTTGCTCATTTACTGACGTTTCAGTTTAAAAATTATATGACTTGGTATTGAGAAGACTCTGGCTGTATAGACTTCTTAGTTTTAACTTTCTGTCTGAAGAAGCAATCACTGTTGACAGTAATCAATAACAGATTTTTACTTACGGTGAAGGAATTAATTTGTTCTTTAGGAGCTAAGATTTTGCTTTTGTACACAAGCTCTTTGAATTAGTTTTAATGAGAAGCCAGTCTTTATATCAGTTCCTAGATCCATTACTGTCTTTTTCTGCTCACCCAGGAGATGTCACCAGCTATATATGGCGATAATAGAAATGACCATTTGTCTCATAGGTTATTTATTCAGCTTCCTTTCGCACTTTTTAAAGCTTAACTTCCCTGTATATGGTAGATATTTCCTTTTAAATCTTTATCTGGCTTGTATGGTCTATATTAGGATATGTAGCACAATTGAGTTTATTTTAAAATAGATCTCTTTTCTCCATTTCATGTGAATACCTTTACTTAAATGAGTTGGGGAATGTCAAGTAAAATAAGTTAATTTGATTCTTTAAAATGCTTCATGCACGTTATATATGTTACTACTTGCCTCAACTGTCACTGTTCTGGAGCTCCTTGGGTTTTCCATAAGAACAAGTGGTTTTTGGCTTTCTTTTTAAAGGGAAATAGATACTTTTAACAGGAAAAAGTGAGTTATTCTAAAATACCTGACCTTTGACCTAAGTGCTCCTCTCTTACCTATTAACTTTACAAATGTAAAGTTCTTTCTTTTGTTTTTTGATTGGTGGGTGGGTAGCAAGAGACTAAATTAAAAGTGTGATCCTAGGGGCAGCTTTTTAGAAACTGAATGTTACTATGGTTGGTGTTAGTTCACTGGAGGACTCCATGTAACTAATGCAATTTGTTCGAATTGTTTGTTTGATGGTGCATTATAGACAAAACTTTCCATTCTGTCTCAGAGATGGAAAATGCTGTAATGTTGGTGAATTTTATTTGTTGATAACTTTGAGACAGCCACGGAGCCACTTTATATTATTGGCTTGTTGACCGTTGTGAAAATAGCTGAGAGCCTATTTTAAGGACAAGGAATGGGGATAGTGGGTGAGCTTATATTAGTCAGAATTAGAATTGTGTATCAGTTTTTTTATTAGATTGCCAGGGCTTCATTATTTCAATGATTCTTCCTTTATTGACATTAAGACAGTTCAGTGTGAATTTTAAGAGCAGTAATGTGTTTTTCACACAGTGAGAACTTCTAAGGAATGCCTGTGCACCTTTTCAAAATCGGCATTTTGATTTGGGAACCCCAGATAGCTAGATTATCTGATTATTTGTGTAATTTTCATAAAGATTTTTATTTAT